ACACACCTGTTCCCAGAACTCAGGAAGGCTGAGGCAGGAGGATCACTGTGGGTTCGGGATCTGCCTAAACTATATAGTAAGTTCCAGGTCAGTCTCAATTACATAGTGAGACACTACCTCAAAAAACCAAAAAAACAAAACAAAACAAAAAAACCTTTTATCATCTGTGAGAAAAAAAAATCTAACCAACCTTACCTAACTGCATGAAATTTGAGATAGTAATTAGGGAAAATACTTGAACTCTTTCTACATGTTTGACAGCACAGAATTTCTTTTTAACATTTTCAAATAAAAAACTTGAGAGACTATAAAACTTTTATTACATAGATAAACTTGGTAAGATTCTTGTATTACAAACAAGGAAACTCAGACACTATTTACCTATACAGGGTCAGTCACAAGTGTAGTCTATAAAAGAAATAAAACTAAAAATCAGGCCTCCTAATTCCCCAGTCCATTGTTCTTTATACTATAATTGTGTTAGCCGGGGATTTAGCTCAGTGGTTCTGTCACCTGCCTCTCAAGTGCAAGGTCCTGAGTTAGATCCCCAGTACAAAAAAAAAAAGCAAATGGTCAAGTAATTGTCCTGTCTTCTCTCATAGCAACCTATTTTTTCATTATATCTGAAGAGTCAAGCAAATATTTTACTGAAGTATAATTACATTGGCAAGCAAACTTTATTTACTTTTACTCTGAAAAATAAAAAAGAAGAGAAAGTAATTACTTGACGATTAGACAAAGAGAAATGAATAGACTGTAACACTCTGGGCCTGACCAGGTAGAACAGTCAGACAGGTAAGGTACAAAGCTTTGAGATCTCTGAGACTACACTAAGATGGCATACAACAGCAAAAGAGAAAATCTAAGGCAGATAATTACCTTAAGAGAATTTACTTTCCACCTGCTCCTTTCGAGCTTATCTAACCAGACATCAGAACAAATATTGGACAGCTCAAGAGTGAAGAGATGAAAGTATGATCAAAAATTGGATGCCATTCAGTGTGTAAATTAAGAACAAAAATATTGGGCCGGGGATTTAGCCCAGTGGTTCTACCATCTGCCTCACAAGTGTAAAGTCCTGGGTTCAATCCCCAGGACCAAACAAACAAACAAAAAAACCCCAGGAATATTGTGATTCAAAAACAACATACCTAGAACTCTTTTACTTGTGGAAGAAATTTTGCTTTATAAACTAGAGAAAAGCAACTAGGGTGATAAGGTATCTTGTCTCAAGTGAAAAAAGCAAACGCTAAAGGCTCTTTAGGTGAAAAATTGATGAACAAGTAGAAGGATCATTTGGTCCATGTTTTCTCTAGGCAGGTAAATAATAACATGGTTATTATTTCTATTATCACTATCCCATTTTTTTAAAAATGTAATTGAGATTCAAAGTGATAAGGAGACTTGCCTAATATCACAATGGTAAACTTAAAAAATGAGCTCAGGCTACTGACCTCAAATATGAACTGCTAAGTATTATATGTTAAAAAATTATCAGTACAGCTCCAACAACCAAAAGTCAAAGTTTGTGTTAAAAAAAGTTCCCTTACCTGTAGTGCACTGTTGAGGAAGCAGCTGTTTTGCCCTGGCTCATTACTGAGGCCTTTGCTTGGGGCTATGGAGGTTGAGCTTCGAGGAGCAAACATTCCTTGAACACTACCACGGCCCCCTGAAAAATAATTTCTTTTCCAAGACATTATTGTTCACATTTAGCCTGAAAACACAGAGAAGGCTTTGTATCTTTTTGGCAGGGAATATCCATCCATCTGCTGAAGTCCTCAAAAGAAAGAAAATCCAGAATTTAGTGAGTTTATGTTGAAAGACTTTTGAGTTTACAACCTTCCAAACATCATATAATCAGCACAAGGAATTCAGACACCCTCTTAGATCCAGCACTGTCCTTTACTTGCTCCACTGTTCAAAATATAACATGGCATAATACAAGCATAGAGAAGTGCTCAAATATTACTTTTTTCTGTTTTTTGAGAAAAATGCCTCCAAAAAGTCCTGATGGAACAGATGCAATCTTCAATTCCAACAGCTTGCAGAATCAAGGCAAGACATGTTCTTCTGTCTTGTTTATAATGCTTCCTATGGACTGAAGATTTTTCTAACTGGAAGGAGAGGTACACAGATAAGCAAGGATACAGCACAAACCTCCTTGCCCTCTATTACCTTGTCCCATCATCCTCTGTAGCAAAAATTCAAGTGTTGAATAGCTAACAAAGATCCCACAAAGCCAAGAAGCTTGCTTGGATTATCCAGGGTGGTGGTGGTGGTAGTGGTTGCCGCCACTGCTGCTGTTGATGCTCTTTTCTACCTTTATGCCCCCAAATTCTTCTTTTGTCCCAGCCAGACTTTCAGAAAGTCTCTTCTCTTTCTTCTGGAACTAGAATAGCCAGCTGTGCCGGAGAGCTTTAACAGAAAGGAAAAAAAAAATCAAAAGCTTGCGTCACTTAATGACTCTACTGGCTCTGCACTGTTCTGCCAAGATCAACGTTGCCTCACCTCTCATATAAACTTGAAACCTTGGCAAACAATGCCAAAAGAAAAAAAAAATTCCTAACAACAACAAAATAATTTGAAACACTCAAATTTATTTATTTTTTAAAAAAGGTATGAGCAGCTTTACTTTCATGGGAAACATCTCTGATAATTTTCTTGAAAAAAGATGATGTGGACATAAATAAAAGCCAAATACAAGCTTTCCCCAGAATCAGGCTAACAAAAAGCAAACAAAATAAAAAAGAAATCACCAAGTAAACAAACACCAAATCTAGGAATTCCATTTATTTTGGATGTTGTGAGTAAAGCACTTTTTATTTTTTGTTTTTTGTTTTTGTTTTTTTTTTGAGACTATGTAGTTGATACTGACCTGGAACTCACTATGTAGCCCAGGCTGGTCTCGAACTCACAGTGATCTTCTGCCTCAGCCTCCCTGAGTGCTGGGATTACAGGCATGTGCCACCACACCCAGCAAGCACTTTTTAAAAGGTGTTGTCAACATGTATGGTTATGAAAGATCTGTTTAAAGGAGCCTTTATTTTGCTTGGTACCAGGAATCAAACTTGGGGCCTTGAGCTTGCAAAGCAGGTAGGAGAACCATTGAGCTAAATACCCAGCCAGAAAGATGTTTATAGGTGGAAGAGACAAGTTAGCAGTCTTGACAGTTCTTAGTTGAATGTTTCAACCCAGAGAAACACTTGTGAGTAAACCACATGTCCTTACCACTCAGTCCAAGAGAAGGATATTTCTTTTGGCTTGTTTGTTTTTGCTAAAGGATCAGATAGATAATTTGGGTTACAAATAATTTAATCCTCAGATTATACTAGAGAGGGTAACAATCAGAGGCCATCCATCCATTGACCAACTTGAGTAACACCAAAGCAACTACTTTCTCTGAAAGGAAATCATCCAATCTCTAGTTTGTAAGAGTTCTTATAAACTGCCATATCCACTTAAGGAAAATGAAGAACATGAGATGTTAAGTTTCTAACAGTTCCTTAAATTTCTCCCTTCCTTCCCATCATATGCACCACTTTAAAAAAATGTTTTGAGAAGCCGAGGATTTAACTCAATGGTTCCAACGCCTGCCTCGCAAGGTCAAAGTCCCAAGTTTGATACCTGGTACCAAAAAAGAAAAAATGTTTTGACATCTTAATCATGCTCTGGGAGAGTGCCAAACATTATCCACAGCACGTCCAGCCAGTGAAAAAACTGAGGCACAGAAATATTAACTGACTATACAAGACTGCTCTTTCTCTTCTCTCAATTCCCAGACTATTATACTCTTCATAATTTACGAGTCACAGTTAAAATATTTGATTATACACTGTACAGCCAAATTATTCATGTTTTTATTACTTTCCATTTATTTTGTATGGTATCAGTCATATATCCTGAAATGACTATGAAATGAAATAATAAGTAGTGTTAGACATGTGCTAAACACTTACATTCTTTATTTATTTAATCTTCATAATAGCCCTATCAGGTAGATATTAATAGTTAAATTTTGAGAAGAATAAAGTGAGACTTAAAGACATTAATTTGCCCAATTCAAAGCAAAGTGGCAGAGCTAGAAATGTTTGGCTATCACATTGTCATTCATGTATTTTATTACAGTATTCTAAGAGCTCCTATCACAGTGCCAGTCACAAGGAGGCAGTCAATAAACACTGCCTGATGATTAACATGACACCAGGAATGAACCCACATATCCCACAGACCCTCACCTCTTTATACACGCCCTCATACACAACCCACTCAAGGCTACTAAGCAACTTCCAACAGGCTGTGCAACATTCCTTCGGGTCAACTGCTACCAAGGAATGACAAGTAACAAGACTCCAATTTGCTCACAGCCAAAAGGACTTGGCATGCAGGTGGGGTTTCCAGTATCCACATTAGGAGCTTACTGAAACTCAGCCTGCCTGCCCTATGACACACATCTGAGTACAGGGAGCAAAGAGGGAAAAGACAGCAGTAGAAAAGGGATTCTGAGACTCTGAATGAAGCATTATATAGGGTAGGACAGCAAGTTCTCACACTTGCTCTAGGTGTGTCAGAAACTAGAGAAGAGAGCCAAAAAGATCATAGACAAGAAGCAGTAAAAATGGTCCACGAAAACACTGATGACAAAAACATTTCACTTAAAATGAAATATTTATAATACCAGCTGCTAGGAAGGCTGTGGCAGGAAGAATGCAAATTCAAGGGCAGCCTGGACAATTTAGAAAACTGTCTCAAAAATAAAATAAAAAAGGCTAGAGACATAGCTCAATAGTGGAGCACTTGCCTAACATGTGCAAGGCCCTGCTTTTTAATCCCCAGCATGCCTCAAGGGGTTAAAAAAAAAAGTTTAGTTCTAGGTCTAGCATAAATAGCATAACAACTCTCCAATGCCACTTACTGAAGGTATAGAAGAAAATAAATTAAAGCTCATTTCAATACGGCTTTAACACTAGGGATTTTGTTTTGTTTTTGTGGTGCTGGGGATCAAACCCATGCCTCATGCATTCTAAGCAAGTGTACTACCACTGAGCTACACTTTCAGCTATACTTGTTTTTAAAAAGAAAAAAATGGGGGCTGGGGATTTAGATCAGTGGTTCCACCACCTGCCTCGCAAGTGCAAGGTTCCAAGTTCAATCCCCAGTACCACAAAAAAAAAAAAAAGAAAAAGAAAAAACATGAGCTGGGCATGGTGGTGCAGCCTGTAATCCCAGCACTTGGGAGGCTGAGTCAAGATTAGCAGGAGTTCAAGACCAGCCTGGACTACACAGTGAGTTTAAGGCCAGGCTGGACTATACAGCAAAACCCTGTCTCAAAAAACAAAAACAAAAATACCTTTCAGGCAATACACAATTAATTTGGGATAAAAGATGATAATGCTGAGCCGTAATCCCAACACATGGGAGGCTAAAGCAGGAGGATCATGAGTTTGATGCCAGCTTGGGTTACATAGAGTTCAAACTCAGCTTAAACTACGTTGCAAGACCCTGACTCAAAGAGTATGTCTGCAATTTACTCTGAAAGAGTCCAAAGTACAAATATATAAAAAGAAAACACATATGGTAAAGTAAATAATAGTAAATGTTTATAATAAGTGAATCTTGCTAAAGAGTATATAAGAATCTTTGTATTTTATTTTGTATTTCTTGCAATTTCTTTATAAGATTTAAATTGATTTTATAAGTTAAAAAGGAATTTTTACTTCTAAAACATTTTAAATTACACAAGAATTATGTATTATTAGTGATTCAACACAGAAAACATGCTAAAATCATTAAATTGGTAGATAATAACTATGCTAGGATATACTGGCAATCTCAAACTTGGGAGGAGGGTGATGGAAAAGGAAAGATATGAGGATAAAATTGCATGAATACAGTTTCAGCACTATTTCCAAGAAAATGGGAGCTCAAAGCTTAGTGTTGTGGTATGTACCTATAATTCCAGCTACTAAGAAGACTGAGCAGGAAGATCCCAAAAGTTCAAAACCAGCTTAGGCAATATAGCAAGACCCAGTCTCCAAAAAGAGACACAGTTTGATGGGTTGGGTATTTAGCTCAGTGGTGCAGCCACCTGCCTTACAAGCACAAGGTCCTGAGTCCAATCTCGGGTACCAAAAAAAAAAAGAGACAAAGTTTGAAACATAGTATTAACAGTTGGTGTAAGTAGAGTAGGACTAGACTTGAAGATGAAACAGTGTTCAATTTCTATATTTTTTACTTCTTTGTATAATCCCAAATCTCCTAGCACAATGTCCTGAACTTTGTTTTTTTTGGGTCTGTAAAACAGGGACTTGGGCCGGGGATTTAGCTCAGTGGTTCCACCGCCTGCCTCCCAAGCACAAGGTCCCAAGTTCAATCCCTACAGGGGATCTTGCACTTGGGAGGCAGGCACAGTGCCACGGAGCTAAATCCCCAGCCCACATTAATTTTATATTGGGACCTCACAATACTAGAAAGTTGCAAACTACTAGGAATAGGTCTTTCAATCCCAAATTGGGGGCTGAGGTGTGGGCATTCCCCAAAATACAAGTCAATCTTCTTGCTGTTTTCTACAATCCTTCCGTTGGTATTCTCATTGCTTTTCCCCTCATAATTTGAACCATCACTTCTGTACTGATAAGTCATAAATCCCATGAAATCTACAGCCAAATGACCAGCTATACTGTACTACTTCTATAGTAAGTTCAACATGTTCAAATCAGAAATTATCTTTCCTTAGGTTCTTCTTTCTTTTTATTAATGTCATCTCCAACCACCTGGGAGTAAAACCTCAGTAGTTTCTCCTATGCCTCTGCCCTTTCCCCATCCAAGATACATATATCTGTCAATTTTTCCTTCAAAAATCTCTTCTCACTTTTCTTTTTCATTTTTGTTGTCATTGCTTTAGTTTATGCTCCAATTAACTCCCATCTGAGCTGCTGTAATAGGTCAGTCTATCTGATCACCTGTATCTCACCATCTACTTCATATTATATAATTAGTGTTTAAAGTTAATATTTACTTATATCTCTCATTATTTATTTGTATGCATTTTGTACAAAATAGGCAAGAACCTGAATTATTCCTTAACTATCAAACTATGTCAGCTGCCAGCCAATCATTTTTGATAAGACCACTCCCATCTTCCCAGGTCCCAAGAAAGGGAAAGTTGTCTAATCTGACCACTCCTGTTCAACATCATACTGAAGGTTGACAAGAAAAAGAAATTAGAAATACATCAACTGGCAAAGGAAAGATAAAACTATCCTTATTCACAGATAATATTGTTGTCTTTATTCTACTCCCTCCCACTCCCATACCAGAGATCAAACTCAGGACCTTGCGCTTGTGAAGCAGGTGCAGCACCACTGAGCTAAATTCTAGGCTCTTATTCTACATTTTAAAGTCCCATGTATGGTACA